GAACCAGAAGAAACCATCCAGTGTGAGGTAACCCAGTCACATAAATACAAGCATGGTACGTACTCACTCATATATGGATTTTAGGCATAGAACAAAGGATTACCAGCCTGAAATCCACATCACCAGAGCAGTTAGGAGACATGGAGGACCCTAAGAGAGACATACATGGTTCCCAGAGAAGGGAAAAGGGACAAGATCTACTGAGCTAATTGGGAACATGGAGGAGAGGGGAGAGAGAGTTAGGAGAACTGGAAGGGGAGAAGAGGACAAGAGGGAGAAGGAAGATTGAGTCTGGGGAAGAACAGAGGAGAGCAATAAAAAAGATACGATAATAGAGGCAACCATTATAGGTTTAAAGACAAATATGGCCATAAGGAAATGTCCAGAGATCTATAAGGATAACCCCAACTAACAATCCAAACAGTATTGGAGAGACTTCCTTAAATGTCCTTCCTGTATAATGAGATTGCTGTCTACTTTAATTGCCATCCTAGAGCATTCATCCAGTATCTGATGTAGGCAGAAGCAAGCATTCACAGCTAAGCACTGAGCAATACTCCTGGACTCCAGTTTTAGAGAGGGAGGAAGAATGAGCGAAGAAGTCAAGATCATGCTGGAGAAACCTACAGAACCGTGTGACCTGATCTAATTAAAGTATACGGATCTGACTTGTAAAGATTGGTTACCAACATTGACCTGAACCAAACCTTCTGAATGTGGGTGCCAGTTGGAATGCCTGTGCAGTCTATGGGACCTCTAACAGTAGAACCAGTATTTATCCCTAGTGTACAAATGGACTTTAGGAGCCCATTCCTTATGGAGAGCTACTATTTCAGCCCAGATATATAGAGGAGGGGCTAGGCCCTCCCCCAAATGATGTGACTGATTTTTATGATCCTCCATGGAAGGTCTCACTGTCCTTGGGGATCAGGTGGGGGTGGGTTAGGTGTGGTTGGCAGGGGGCATGTGAGGATGGGAGGGAGAGTGACCAGAGGAGATTAGATGATATGTAAAATGATTGTTTCTAAATAAAAAAGGAAAATATAAGTGAGTTGAATCTTTTTTGAAAATGTTACTCCAAAGTCTACTTAAGTGGGGTTTTATACAGCAAAATATCATCAACAAGCATTTTTTTAAAAAGCCACTCCTAGAAATCTGAGTTTAACGCTTAAGCTTAGTATTTAGCTTTCTTTTTCTATAAATATAATGCTTTTTTTCTCTTCATTTGCTATTGTAAATCTTCACTCTGATTCATAAAAAAGTATTCACGGCTACTACTTTTTGTCATTTCTGAGAGTTAAATACATTAAAAAGAATAATAAAAATCATTTCAAAGTTTTTCAAACAAAGAAATCATAGAACATGAGCTGCTCAGTGATATTTTTAAAGAAAACGACTACCTCAACCACATGTTTTTTTAAAAAGTTCATTTCTATTTCAACTCAGTTTAAATTCCTAGTAGACAAAACACTCTTTTCTCTCAGTTTACTACAGGTCTCTCCAGAACTTGGAATATTTGGCAGGTTACCTGCCACTTGTGTGTGCTTACTCTTAGCTTCTTGCAACAAATTCTAAATTTCATAGTCTATTTTGTGAATACAGGAAGAAAATAAACAGCAGGATCAAGAAATTACTGCACATCCTTCTGGGGGACAGTCTGTCAATGACATAAGGTCAGTAAAATCTTGGAAACCTAACTATTCCAAAACAAAATATATTTTCTTCCTTCCTTCCTTCCTTCCTTCCTTCCTTCCTTCCTTGCTTCCTTCCTTCATTTCTCTCTCTCTCTCCCTCTCTTTCTCAATCTCTCTTTTTTCTACTTCATTACTCTCTTTTCCTTTCTTTGTCTTTCTTTCTTTCCCTCTTTCTTTTGAAAGTATACAGATAGAGAGACAGAGACAGAGACAGGATAGAGAGAAACAGCATCCTATCAGTACAAGGAGAAAAGAGAAAAATTCTCAAAACAAATAGATGAAAGAAAAACATACTATATGCATAAACAGCTTTAAAGAACTACCATTTTGAAATATTACGGAAATAACAAAATTTTCTTTGAACAAGTAAATAATTTCCCGCCTTCCAAACTTTAAAAACATTCATTTTCATTATACTTACTTGTATGCTTAGAAATATGTTACTGACTCATTACATTTGAGAGATTACCGCTGCTGAAAGAAGAATAGCATTGGGCCAACTCTTAAAAGAGCAACATGGAGCTCTGGGATTGTGTTATAAAGGTTTAAAATTAGATCATCAGCCAGAAACTCTACTCTGAGATGTATAGAATGAAAGGTGTACAGATATGCTATGGTATAATGACTCCTCAGGATGTTAGGGGCTTTTTGTAAATCAATCATCAGAGTGAGATAAGTATAAGGTGAGAATCAGTAAAACAAGATGCCTTTTTGTAGGCACAATCATGTGCATCTGTGAAAGTCAGTTCAAGAGGTCCCATGTGTCACTAGAAATTTAAGACCAGAGTAGGGTTTGGATATATATGAAAGCTTGGGCTTTTATAAGTATAATGACTCAGTACTCTGAACTCCATTGCACAGGCTTTCAAGAAATCTCTCAAGGTGTTCATGGATAGATACACTTCCATTTTTTAAGAATAAAGTCCTGCTATCAAGTTCCTGTAAATATCTCCAAAGAGAGATACTTTAGCAATATTTCAGTTTCCTTCTTAACCCAAATGCCTCTAGTCCTACCATAGCACACATAGCCCTAAAACAATGAGGAGGTTCATACTACTTTTTGCTACTCAAAATATACTGCATTAGTTTGTAACTGATATTAAAATATAGGAAATGCAGATTTAAATCACTAAGTAGATAACAGTGTTCATGTGCCATCCTTTTAAAATTTCTCCAGTGCATTGCTGTAGAATAAACATTTGCAAAGTGCTATTTTAAATGTAAATTGGAGTAAAAGCACAAATGATTGAGGACAACTATCACTTATTACATTGTTCTAATTACAGGTATGTGTGCTGGAACTGAGTTGACTCCTCAGCCTCAATCCAGGATCCAAAGAATAAATACAGTTCAATTCTTAACCGACTATAGGGTGAATGAAGTCTTGCTTCTGGGTTTTGTCAAACCTATTCAAAATGAACATCCATGTAAAATGTGTACAACACAGGTTTATTAGATATTTTGCATTTAACTTATTAAAAATTTTTATTTTTTTACAATAGATAGAAATTACCTTCAGCAAGAAAATGGATTAATTTCTTGTCTATACAACATTTATATACTGAAATATTAGGAAATAATAAGTCTCAAAAACAACAGAAAACATGATGTAATTTGTGAATTTTAATTTATTTTCTGTGTTTCTACATGTGTATTTGTTTTAGTCAGTAATTGAGCACCCAGACACAGCACATATGTGAAGGCCAAAGGACCATTCTCTTGAAAAAGCCATATGTCTCCTGCAACATTTTCAGACGATGGGATCAGACTCTGTTCATCAGGCCTGCATGCAAATACCTCTACCCACTGTGTCATATTTCTGGTCCTCTGGTATGGATAGCACAGCTTTCTATCCATATGTATTTGTTATAATAGTTCCTAATTTCATATATATCTGCTACATATTTAGAACTACTAATTTCTTATTGTCCAAAGGCATAGACAGCCATGTATTTTTTTTTTTGGTTTTACGAGACAGGGTTTCTCTGTATTGTTTTGGAGGCTGTCAGTCCAGCCTGGCCTTGAACTCACTGAGATCCGCCTGCCTCTGCCTCCCGAGTGCTGGGATTAAAGGCGTGCGGCACCACCGCCCAACTGATGGCCATGTATTACAGAAAAAAAAATCATCCTTTGTTTTTGGTTGAATATGCTCAATGTCATGATGGAATAATCACAAAGAAGAAAATAAAAAGCTACCATAGAAAGATCAAGTCTTGCTAGTATCATCGTTACCAGCACTTTCATTTCTAATAATTGGTCAAGCAGTACTTTTTACTGAATTATATAATCTACCAAAAACAATGTCATGTAATAGTTTCTGGATTATACTACAAAAGTTACATTCTTGCTAGTAATTTAAATTTAATACCTCATCTTAGTTGCCTTGATTAAAAACTTTGCAGAAGACAACATGGCAAACAATGCAGGGAAATTAACTTGCTCAGCAAAGTGCCTAATATTGGGGGGAATGATGAATAGTTTGGGTGGAGACTTTATGTTTATCTATGCATAACAAGTGGTAACTGACAATTACAGGATACCAAGATAAACTATAATGGCTGTGTGTTATGAAGACAGTTTTATGGAATTGTATTAAGAAAATGACTTAACACTTGTCATTTTTGCTCTCCAATATAAATGGAATTTCAGAGCCTTATGATTTTAATTATCCTCTCAATAAGGAATCCATCTCTTCTAATCAATTAGCAGTTTAAATGCTAATTGCTTTCTCTTCTATGAGTGCCATGTTGAAGCATTAGCCTACAAAAGGGATGGTATTAGTATTTAATAAATGTTGATAAAATGAGTTGGATTTAAGATCTGCTTTTCATCCCATCTTGGTCTTGATACTTTCAAAACAGAATACCTTGCAGTATTCAATGACTATATTGTTTACTCAAAAATTTTAGGGAACATTGTACCAGAATATAATTGCAAACATTAACACGTCAAAAACAATTTTCACAATCATTGTCATCCATTAAAATGGGACCAATATTTTACTCACTTTCCTATTTTTCCATTGTGTTTTGAATTACCCTATGATCTCTCTGAACAGCTTATCCTTTTTATTTGCTTCCATCTTCTCCTGTGCCTTTTGTAAACAGCTCATCAGCTTCATTTCCTTCCTTCTCAGTCTGTTTTCTGCAAACAGCTCACCTACGTTCGTTAGGACTCTCAGAACACAAGAAAACACTTGTCCATGTACACTTTCTTCTGGACAGTGTTGAGTTTTTTTTCTCTGTATTTAGTTAAGACTATGGTACCAGGGCATGGAGCTGACCTTTGTAGCCACAAAGCACTCACCACAGTTGGCCTCATCGGAGGCATCTGCACAGTCTGGGTCCTCATCACAAACCCACAGCTTGGAGATGCAATGCTTTGTCGTCTTGCATTGGAAATAGTCAGGAGAGCAGCTGTTTTCAGCTTAAGAAAAAGAATATCTTTTAATGTGCAACATTCAGCACAAATGGATATGCTATTTATAAAGATACTACACAAGAACTTGTGACAGTTCAAGGACAACATCTCCTTTCATTAATGGGGTAGCGAGCAGAGAAAACTTGAGGTTTTATTCTTTTAGTATGCACCCAATTGACTCTCCAACTGGAAATAGAAAGAAACACCTATTTTTTTATGATTATACATGAATAAAATCAGTGTTTTCAAATGAGCCACAGAAAATATATTTGGAAACTGCTTTTTAAGATAGGGAATTTAGTTTCTCAAAATAGTTTTTCAAATATTTTTAGAGCTCATCCTTATTCATTTTATAAGTCAAAATTACTAACGTTGGAAGGCAATAAATAAATAAGGAAGTTTATAAAGTTTAATAAAAAATCCTCAGAAGTGTAGTTTTGGAGAGAGTGGAAAAGGCTAGACTCAGACAGGAAAGTACATCACTATCGTGGCCACTTTACTAGACCCTGGCTAGAGTGGTCATCTGGGTGAACTGGTCCTAACTATTCAGAACACATTGTCTTAATCAAATTGCTAGATGACTACACATTGTTATTGACTGATGAAAGTTTCATAGAACAAAATAAAACTTCAGCAAGAAAGAAATATTCACAGGAGTTTTGCTGAAAATCTGAAGTTTGATGAGTGCTTTATTCTTCAGGATCTCTCTCTCTCTCTCTCTGTATGTGTGTGTGTGTCTGTGCACATATTCATACATGAATACATGATTATCTATTCATTTCTCCACATGCAATAGAGCAGCACTTTGCCTTCTTCTAAATGTATTTGATATTTCTATGGAGATGGGAGCATAATGTGAGAAGATTAAAAGTAATTATTTTTTTAGGTAGATTTTAGGGTTTATTATGTGAAGCATCAATTACAACTAAATTTGTTTTTACATTGCATTCTTTCAACGGGTATTACATGAGAGAAATAATCCCTAATTAAAATGGAGCTGATGTCCTACATGTCATTAATCAATAGGCATAAAGTACTTATACTTAATATGGGGGAAAGCCAGTATATGGGAAAACACCATATAATCAACTGCTATGTTGCTCTGATGGTTTTCTTTATATTGACATGAATGTACTGTTCATGAGTGCAACAATCTTCAGGGAGATCTTAAAATAAAGATTATTCATATCTTTTTTGTTTTTTTCTCTGTTTTATGTAGTACTTCTTAAAAATGTACCATAATTGACATAATTTAGTTATTTCTTGTTCATATTTTTCTCTTATTTTTCTACATTGCATGATTTTATGGAGATTAATTTTCATTCTAGTTTCATTTAGCATTCAAAAGTCCAACCAGACAGGACATTTTGGTTGACTTACGACAGTCTCTTTCATCTTCTTCATCACCACAGTCATCTTGTCCATTACATCTGAGGTTTATTGGGATACATTTCTGGTTCTTGGTACACTTGAACTGACCTGGCAGGCAGACATGTGTGTCTGTGACAAAGAGAAGAAAATAATGTGATCTGAGACCCGAGTCTTCATTTAAAAAGGGGCAGTCATGAGCAATCAAGACTTAGATGTCAGTGCCCAAGTTAGGACTTTAATGACTTACCACAGTTAAGTTCATCAGAGTTGTCTCCACAGTCATTCTCCCCATCACAGATGAAAGCAGGCAATGCACAGAGTCCTGTTCCACACTGAAATCGGCCTGGCTGACATTTAAATTCAGCTGGGAAAGAAAGAATGAATATTTTGTAAAGAGGCAAACTAAGTCCCTGATGTCTTAATCAGACATTGTTATTGGTATTTTTCATTGGCTATATCTTCAGCATAAAGGGAAAGCCTCACATCTAGAGATCTATTAGAGCCTGGTGAGCATCTAAGTAATGGGCAACCCAGATGGCCTCCTGACTTGCAGTTCATAAATTCTCTTACCAGAGAAGCAAACTATTAACATGCAAACTATAACTAAAAAGTCACTTGTGGTTTGGGAAGTAGCATCACCATAGTGAAATGCTGAGAAAGGTTAAGGACCTGAGTTCAAATCCCAGAGTACATGTTAACACTTGTCTATAGTGCCCAACACTTATAATCCTGGTTCTGGGACAGCAAAGACAGGTTGATTCCTGAGGAATGTGAGCCAGGCAACCTACAATATTCACCAAGTTCCAGGATAAAAGTCCTTGTCTCATCTAGGGAGGAGACTCAATGTTGACCTCTGAACTCACCATACATGTATCAGCACACATGCATTTGTACATAAACATAAATTCATGCATACATACATACACACACACACACACACACAAATGCACACACCAAGAGAGCACTCAATAGTGATCTCAACTCAGTGTCAGCCTATTCCTAAATGTACTTGAATAAACAGCTTTTATTCTTGTTCCATGTTCTTAAAATAAGTATTTCTTCTTTCTGCTTTACTGCCTCCAAATTATTGTATACATAGCTATATTCTTTTAATTGGAAACCTCCTGTATCCATCACATTTAGAACATATTTTAATAATAATTACATACAGTGTTTTTATATAATAAATAGTTTACATACCATTTACATTATTACAATAAACACTTTATAAATGGTAGTATTTTCTCTTCCAATATGCTTTTATACAAGGAAGAGTTAATAATAATGGAAGATATACTGAGATATGTTTTGTATTAATTAATAGGGCAGTTACATCAGCAAGGCCTTTTATTTGTAAAAATTATGCCAGGCATTAGTGGCTCACACATTTAATCCCAGCTCTCATAAGGCAGAGCCAGGTGGATCTCTGTGACTTCAAGGCCAGCCTGGTTTACAGAGCAAGTGCCAGGTTAGGCTCCAAAACTACACATAGAAATACTGTCTCAAAAAACAAAAACAAATAGGCTAAATATTTAAAAGAAAAAAAAGAAAAAGACATTACTAATTTCAATGGCAATACATATTAAACCTGTAATAGGGTATCAGATCAAATCTATCAAAATATGCAATATTTTTAAAGGCAAACTTTGCTAAATATTGGCTAAGTGTGGATAAAGGGCCTGCACACTCTTGATAGCAATATAAATTCATATATAGCACAGGAATTTATGGTATACATCTTTAAAAATGAAATAGAACTGGCATAGTATGTGGTGGTTCAGATATATATACATGTACAAAGGAAATGACCTCAGGATGTTGGAAATTTGTTGCTGCCTGGGTATTTGCTACAATGTTACTTATAGAGACCCAGTAAATTATCAACTCACTTGTGCATAGACAGATGAACAGGGATATGTCACAGATAAGCACTGAGCATTTATCCTTAATTAAGGAGGAAACTCAATTGTGACAATCCTCAAGAACCGAGAAAGCATTAAATACAGCAATTTGTTCAGGCATAGAAGGAGGAAATACTATATCATGACATTTATACATAAAGTCTTAAAACAAAAAAAACCCAAATTCATGAAAACAAGCAGTAAAATGATAGCTACTAGAAACTACGGAGTAGGAGATTGTGGAGATCTTGACCACAGGACACAAAAATTTAATTAGACAAGGAAAGCAAGTTCCAGAGATTGTTTACACATTGTAATGACTACATTTTTGTAACAGGTTCTATACTTGATGATTGCTGAGAAAGATTCTACATGTTCTCAAGACAAAATAAATAATAAGCTCATAAGGTAATATACATGCTAAATGGTTTAAATACATTAAAACTTATATATGCCATCAGTATATATAAATTTGTTTTTAATTGAAATAAAATGTGCTAATACTGATCTTTAACCAGGATAAGGGCCCTACACCAGTAACATGTCTTTTTTTCAATTGTTCAAACAAACATATACACTTGACTACATGCATTCTGAAAGTATGCAACTGAGAGAAACTTAACTCTGCAGTTAACTTTTTACTGCAGAGGGCTTATGACATGAAATTTCAAAGTTACAAATAGAATTCCAAAGGCCTAAGTACTTAGGAGAGAAATCATTGTGATTGTGACTTTGCTGTAGGTCTTTATGGTGGTATTCCCTCAACAATGTCAGCTCTGGTCAGTAAGGGTCATCTTAATAGAACATTAACAGGTACATGCTATTCTTTTTAAGTAAACACAAATTATAATTATTTTATTCACTACATCCTAGGAAAACTTCTTTTATTATGGAGAAAATGTTTTCTTGGAACAATTAGGTCTTAGTAATTGTTTATCACCCATACCATTCCTTCTTGTGAAATTTCTTCTAATTCAAAATCTTTTTAAAATGAATAATTTGCTCATAATTTTAAATTATTCACAGGTCCTTCTCCCCCTGCATTGTCTACTACAGTGAAAAGAACTCTGTCAATAATGTTTAAAAAAATAACAAAATAAGAAAAGGAATGGTTTTTATTTTATTTCTCACCAAAGTGGTAGCTTATTGCTTTCCACATAAAAGAGGATATGTGAAACAACTTCCCGATTATGAAGCTCATAGTGGAAAGGAAGATGAAACCCAGTTCATTTAAGTAACAATCTGAAAGTGTGAAACAGTTTTATAATTGGTGCTAGAAAGTTCCTCAGAAGTAAATAACTGCGTTTCAATTAGGTGGTATTCCTTCTTCAGTGCAAGCCTTAAGATCTTGAACTCAGTTGTCAAGGCCAATCAAGGCCAACTCATGGATCAATTGTCAGTGCCAAGTCAGGCCAACTGTACTGAGACACTGAAGGAATTATCAGGATTGACTGCAAGCATCTTCAACTTGACAAGGAAGGATTAGAATGACCTGTAGAGTGAACTATAACAGGATTTCCAGGAAAGCTTCTGATTGCCCATCACCACCTAAGTTAGCATTGATTGCTACCCTGGAAGCTCTAACAACAGTCACCTTGGTCATGAGCCATTTACAGTAGTCTAACGGCAGATTAAATCAAGTTACCATAAATAAAAATTAGCATTAAAAGTAGTACTCCTAAAGAATTTTCAAGATCTTAACATTGACAAAGAAGATACAAGTTTTTATCCATTAGAAAGGAATTTCTACATCTTGCTTATTTGTATTGCAAACGTGTTAAATACTTTCAGTGAAAAAGCAAGTACTATACTACTAATCAGTGTGAAGCAAAGGCTTTATCCAGAAAAAAAATCAGTCATCAGAAATAAAACCAAAAAAAAAAAAGAAAAAAGAAATAAAACCAAGACTTTGCAAATATTTTTCTTTACATTTTATAAGAATTGTGAGTTAAAATGTTTTATTTAAATATGGGAATATATGAAAAATGCCTTAGATCAAGCCTAGTTTATTTTTACAAATCTGTAATGTAAAGAACTCTAAAGTCTAAACCCCATTTCAGAATACTCACGGCAGTCTTCAGGCTCATCAGATCCATCACCACAGTCATCCACAGTGTCACATTTCCACCAGAAAGGGATGCATTTATCAGTTTTGCACTGAAACTGAAAAAAAGAAGTGCAAGAAGAATGTTTATACACATACCATATGTAGAATGGGTATTCATTCAGACCATGGTGTAATTCCCTCTCACTCTCACACAGTAAAATGGGCATGCATGATTTTAGAGCCTTTCTATTGAGGAATGAATGTACCAACCTTAACACAATCTGCTAAGAAATTTCCCTGCTCAGAACACTCTGGTGTTCTGATTCACGCATTTCCATGTTGTCTGAAGGGCTGCAGTAATTACAACAGGGCATCTACCTAAGTAGCTGCTACAGAGACTGCATGGCCTTAAAAGCCTCAGACATTTATCTGTTCTCATATAGTAGATAATATTTGTCCAATACTATACAAGGTTAAAAAAAAAAAGAACCAGGGCTACTACGAAAAGATATCAACATGATTTAGGTGGGTTTGAATCAATTGAAGAAAAATGGATTTCCCTAAGAATCTTGGAGATTTCAATGAAAATTGTTCCATATTCTTTAGATGTTGTAGACAAATTTATTCTTTCCAGATGTACAATGTCAGTTCCTCAGTGCTATGAGTGTTCTTAGCATAAACAAACAAACAAACAAACAAAATGCTACCTATAATCAGAATACTTTGCTTCCCACAAAAATTTTTTGGTACTTCTCCAATACAGTAGATAATATCTTTGTTTTCAATTATTGGAATTATTTAAAAACATATATACTAGAATTAGTAGGATCCAATGTGTTCAGAATACAATTATACCTTTATGAAAATTCCTTATTAGAGCCTATTATTGGAGCAATTAATACATACTAAATTTTTTAAATTATGTGACTTGGGAAGGTAAGGAAAGGGAATTCACACTAATATTTTAAAAGATATAAAAATTGGGCTGCAAGTCTCTTTGATGATTTTATTTTAATGGTCTATGTTAGTCACTTATTGCTTTGTTTTAATTTGAAGCAGGAACTGTCACAGAAGCTGAAGCCAACCTTGAACTCATGGTAATATTTTTAAGTGCTAGGGTCCCAGAAACAGGCAAGTAATAAAAATTAAAAGAAACACAGGAGAAACTTGTGTTATAAAACAATATTATTAATCAAAATTCTAGCTCCTTAAAGCTCCAGTGGCAGATGTTATTTTGTACTAACAAGGAAAGAGAAAATTGACTGAGGTAAACAGGCTCTTGGCATTGTTTCTTGGCAATATTGACTTACAGGTTATTTTTCATATGAGTGATTAGAAGAGAAAAGCTTCCTCTGTTTGAGGAAGGAGATCAGAGCCTCATTTGAACTAGTAAGTCAAAGAACAAAACTATTTATTCATTTGCTGTTGTTTTTATTGTTTGCGTTGTTTTGGGATACATTATCATTTAGTACAGGATCTCATTAAACTTTATACATAATTGAGGGTGACCTTGAAGTCATGTTTCCCTAGCCTCCACTTCCTGTATGTGAGATTATAGCTATATATCTTTATTTCAGGTGTTTATTGGCACTGGGAATTGACTGACACACACATAAGTCAAACACTCTACCCACTGAGTACTCTATGCCCCCAAATGATTTAGTGGCAGTTTTACTCTGTACAACTATGTAGAATGACATAAAGGCTCAGTCAATTTGGGCCTCTGTACCCTTGGGAAATGGGTTAATATTTAATCTTACTAAGTAATACATACAAAAATTTAATTTTACTAAGATTTAAATACAAAAATTAAAACAAAGTTTCTGAACAGAGAATACATGTATCTGAAGTAATTGACATTTAGTCACTAAGAGTACGCAATTATTTTAGTCAATCACTTTTATTGATCAAAGTATATACTTTGCTTTCCATTATTTGTTTATGTATTTTTATTTATTTAATTTACTGGTTTGTTTGTTTTGAGGCAGATTATCACTATGTAGCTCTAGCTGTCCTGTAACTTTACTATGTATACCAGGCTTACCTTTAACTCAAATAGATTCACCTAACTGCCTGCTAAGTGCTGGAATTGAAGGTGTGGCCCACTACATTCAGATTCGTCTTTATTTTCTAACAGAGTTTATATTCATTCAGATTTTGAAACCTTGGATAAATACATTTCCAGAAGTTATTTTCTTTCTGAGATGTCATACATTAATTCTCATGCAAAGGATTTGGAATGGAAAAACTGTAGTATGAAAACATTGCTTTGGCTCTTTAAAAGACATGGATATGAAATCCACTTGTTAGTTTAAAAATCTGATTGCTTTAGTAAGAAAGCCATTGCTGTTAGCACAAGTGAATGAATCCGGATACCATAGAGCTTCTTCTAGTTGGAATTATAAGCAGGAGCATGATTTTTTCTTCTTGTATTAATGTGGGAGGAAATAGAGATCATGACCCTTAGGGGAATCTCTCTATTCAACCGTCTTTCTATAGATTTTTTTAGATTGTGGTCATGTCTGTTTTGTTTTCCATAAGTTACCAGAGGAGAAAAATACCTTTATAGGCAGTTGTCTCTTGGGGAGATAAGCTAAATCTGAAAGCAATTACCCTGAACATTAAATATTTCCAGTCATTACAATATATCAAAGCTTATTAGTGAGAGGATTCTGTGTCTTCTGAGTATCCTCAAAGTATTCCCAATCATGAGATGGAAATTATTAATACATATTCCAATTCACTAAACATATCTGATTTAAATAAATGCCAACTGTTAAATTATACATAATATGAAATTCTGCTCTCATTTCAATCTAACAATACCATAAAAAGGCTTTGAGTCAAAGAAACCATGATAAAACACACTTACATTATCTGTTATTATAACTAACATTTTACTATTAGAAGTTTTCTCCTATTTCATGTGTCAGCTTCATATTTTTTACATTTATATTCTGTTGCATTGAAAATAAAAATATGAAATACGGTCATATTAAAAATAACAATATAAAACAATATCACCCCACCCCTTGCCTGCTAGATGGTAGTAGGGACCAGGCTTGAGGAGTAGCCAAGGGAGCCTGGAGCAGTTGGAGGTGACTCCCTACCACACCCATGTTGGAAAGAAGTGGAAGCTGTTCACACTTTCCTCACTGGAACTGCAGCCCAGCTGACTACAAAGAGGAATAAGAATATGATGTCATACAGGAAGATGAGTTAACTATTCAGTCAGGTAAATCATTAGGAATGTGGAAGAAAACAATAAACTACCTGGAGAAGGATGGCTAGGAGAAATAAATAGGAGATAGGTATGTTCTCTGATAGGTTTGTTAAAGGAAGTGAGAGACAGAATCCAAGAATGACACTATGCACATCAAACCATAAGGGAGGAAGTGTGGTAAGTCTTGAACAGCAGATGAGCACTTAGAATGCCCAGCTCAAGAAATTCAGCTGCACCCACAACAGCAAAATATTTGGACACAGAGTCCTTTTTAACTACATTTCAAAAAGCAAGGGTGAGCTGGATATTCATGGCAGGTAACATTAGCAGTGGAGTCCTGACCAATAATTTGGGACCATTTCCTTTAAATAGTGAAAGAATTAGACCTAACATGTTCTGAAAGGCATGGGACTTAGGATGGTTCAGAAACTGTTTGACTGAGTCTAATTTACCTTATGATCCCAGGAAATAGGAGTTAAATTGTCCTTGGATCATTTACACAGCCAAAGGAACCTAAGGTCTTGGATTTAGAGAAATTTTTATTTTTATTAAATTTTTATTGTTTAAAAGAATTCTAACTTTAGTCACATTTGACCATATCCTCACCATATCCCAAGCCCTCTATGTCTTCTCTCCCTCCGCATTCTACTAAATGCAAGTTCTTTATGAAAAATCAAACAAAAATCCAAATACAAAAGGCCCCAATCCAAGAACACAAAGTAAACACCACCATGTAAACAAAAACTGTAACCAAATAAAAGCACACACAAAAGAACTTTGAAGTACATATGTTCCTCAACTACTCCTGAACATGAGGCATGTCACTCTTTAGGAGAAAACTGTTTTTTCTTCTCTTAGAAGTGTAAATGGCAGTTCAGTTGTTAATCTATGCCCTAGTGACTATATTTTCCTTCATTCATTCATTTAAAAAATAAGAAAATACAATAACAAAATACAATGTAAGAAAATAAAATGAAAGTACCAAATTGAAGTTGTACAAAATATACATGTCAAACCACAGAAGGAAAAGAACCCAAGAAAATGCATAACAATCAGAGACCATTTGCTTGCATACTCAGGAGTTCCATAAAAACACTCAATTCTAGGACATAACAATCTCATTGTGCAGACTCTGGTAGGCCCTGTGCAAGTTTATATGGGTTTTTCTCAGGTTGATTTGTTTTCTTAGTGTCATCTATCTCCTCTGGCTCTTTCATTCTTTCTGCCTCCACTTCTGAGAGGTTCCTTGAACTCTGAGGGGAGGGATTTTAAAGACACATCCCATTTAAAGCTAAGTTTTCTGAGCTTTTTCACTCTGTATAATGTCTGACAGTGTGTCTTTATATTTTTTTCATCTGCTGCAGGAGCAAGTTTCTCTAATGATAGCTGAACAAGGCACAATCTATGAGTACAGTAGAATATCATTATTAGTAATTTTTTCATCACATTATTAAAAATTTTAGACCAGTATTATTTGGTTTTGCCCTAGGTCTATCTAGTTTCAGGTTCTTCCTCACCTAAGCTATGTTGGGAATATGCTGATCTAGCAGAATTAAGCCTTATGTCACATCAGTTATTGGTTGGTTATTCACACAAGTTTTATTCCACCATTGCCCTAGCATTTCTTTAAGGAAATTTATCATTGTAGATTATGGTTTGCGACTGGGTTGATGTTTCTGTTTTGGTAGTGTACAGAGTACCTTTAGTATCGAAATAGCTAAATGTAGAGGAAAAACAAGGCTCTATGTATCCACCAGCTCAACATATCTATATTTAATTAATTCAATGGGATCTTGCCATCAGTTTATGTAGAACAACCTATAACTTTAGCAAAAGCCTGGGTTGTTAGAGGATTCTTGATGTGCCTTTAATCAACTCTATTAGATGTAATGC